ATTTCATTAATAATAAAATTTTTGACAGGATTTCAATTATTTTTTATACAATTTTAAGTAAATTCATCAAAAAATAAAAGTATTTTTTCAAAAATTTTATTAAAACCTTCAAAAAAATTTATTTATCAATTATTTATCGTCCATTTCTTAATAATTAAATTTTAAGAAATTTTGATTGTTTTGAAATTTTTTAAATAAAAATGTAAAAAATAAATAATTGATGTAATTAAAAAAATAAATCAAATTATTTCAAAACAATTAATTCTACAGAATTATCATTTAAAAGGATGAATAATTCAAATTTTGAAAGATTTTTATTTTAAACCTTTTAAAAATTTAATTATTTATAAAAATTCATGCTATAATGTTTTTAATATTATAAATTGTTTTGAAAAATTTTATTAAAATAGTAGATATTCAGGGTTGCCACAAGTTAGTGAATTCAGGGAAAAGTCAGCAAAATTAGAATTGGTCAGGGAAATCAGGGAAAAGTTAGGAATTTTTATTAAGAGTACTAGAAAAAATTAAATTTTTAGAATTTATAAGAACATTCTGAATTTTTTTTTTGTTTGCCTCATAAACTATGAAATTGACCAGAATTCTAATACAAACCTTTCAATTTTTTCTATTTCTGCCAATAATTTCTTTCTAAACAACATAAATCTTGAGCAACTATATAATAAAATAAATTATTTAATGAATAATTTTACTAAGAAATTTAAAAATTTTAAAGAGGATTTTATTATTTATTTAATTTTTTTTTTGTTTTTATTTTTTTATATTTTTTTATATTTTTTTAAGAGTATTTCTTAAGAGTTGCATTTACAATCTTCATAAATAGATGAACTTCAAAGGTTTCAATTTGAAATTTTAAAAAATATCAATTTTTAATGAATTAAAATATCAATTTTAAGAACAAATGATTAGAGAAATTTAATTATTTTCAAAAGTGATGAACTTCTTCGTATAAATTAAATTATTTCCAAAAGTTTTTTTTAAACTTTTGTCAAAATTTTAATTATTTCTATAAATTATAAAATTTTTCTCAAAAATTCAATTATTTTCAAAAAATGTAATAAAATTCTTGACAACATTTCAAAAGTTTGCCTTTTTTCAATTTTTTTTAATATATATTATTTTAATAAAATTTTACAAATTTTTTTATTTAAACAAAATTTTGATTACAAATTCACAGAAATTCAAATACATACAAATTTTTTATATATTTCTTCGCAACAATTTAATAATTTTATTTTTTGAATAAAATTTCTCTAAAGAATTCAAATATATTCAGAGAATTGAAAAAAATATTTCTGAAAAATTTAATTAATTCGAAATATTTAAATAAAATTATTTTAAAAATTCTATTATTTAAACAAATGTTAACCAAATTCTTTACAATATTTAGTTAATAAAATTTCAATTTTAATACAATTTTCTATACCGTTCAATTATTTTCAATACACTGAAAAAAATTTGGTCCAAATATTCAACTACTATAACCTTGTTGAGATTTTCCTACATTTATGAACGTTTAAAGGAACAAAATATTTTTTTATGCTCCAATATTTTTAAAAATGACTAAATTTAGATGAAAAATATTTTTAATTGAACATTAAATTTAGTTAAAAATTAGGTTTTAAATTATACAAAACAAATTTTTATAAATGAAATAAAAATTAAAAAAGCAATAACAATATCGTCCTTCATTTCAACGTTCAAAACTGTTGGTATATTATATTTTAAACTTTTTTTTAAATACACCGAAAGAATCCAATTATTTTTTAAACTTTTGATAAAATTCTTCATAAAAATTTAATTTTCAGAAATATTCTATTATCGAATACATTATTTAGTTTTAATATGTAAATAATTGAATTATCGAATAACAATTTATTAAAATATGAATTTCAGATAAAATTTTAGATAATAATTGAATATTAGACGATTTATTGAGTGAATTTCTAGAAATAAACGAATTTTGAAAAGGGTTCCAATTGAAATATTTGAAAATTTTAATTTGCAGTTGCAATATTCTTATTATATAAAATAATGATTTTATCACTTTGTCATCTTAAATTTATTATGTCACGTTTTTTGGGGTAGGAGGGAGTTTCTACTAAACGTGACACAATGTATTTTTACATGAGAAATTGCGTGACGGGGGGGGGGGGGGGGTTTAAAATTCCGAAAAATTACGTGCCATCATTTATGAACGCTTCCTAAAAAAAAAGAAGTCATTGATGTTCTTCAGGGTCAAGGAAAGAATGAAAATTTTGTCTGGAAATCAGGGAAAAGTCTGGAAGAAACAAAATTAAAGATTTGTGACAAAAACTTATTATTGAAAATTTTAGATTTGAGAAAAATTTTTGAAAATAATTGTAATTTTGCAAATAATTTTATTTAAATTTTGCGAAGAATTTAATTATTTCTATAGATAATTGAAATTTTAAAGAGTTTTTTTTTATTTTTTAAAATTTTTTATTGAATTTCTGCAAAGAATTTTACTTCACTGAGAAAACATTATACTTAATTCAAAAAGAAAAATAAATTTGAGTAATGTTGTTTAATTAAAATTATTTTGTAAGCTTAATTCCAAAATACAGAAAATATTTGCTGCTTTGATTCAAAAATATTATTTGTTTAGATAATTATGCTTAATTCAATAATTATATTTTTCCAAAAAACGGACAAAATTTGTGAAAATGGCTATTATTCAAACTTAGAATAAAAAACAATTAAAAGTTTATATTTTATATTTAATATGCGATTTTTCAAAAAACGGTCCGAAAACTGTGAAATCATTTTTTTCTAAATTAAATTCAAGAAAAGACAAATAAGACTAAGTTTTATTTCAAACTTTTGTATTAGTAAATTATTTATTCAATTACAAGAAATAGAAAAAAAATGGTCAGGAACTTTGAAAAGGTAAAAAATCATAATGAATGATGAAAACGCTATTTTCTCAAAATTTAAATCTGAAAAAAACTACGAATGTCGGATTTTATTTCAAAATTTTGTATTAAATTGTTTATTTGTAGATATTTTTTTTACACAGCTAAGTGTTCAAATCTAGTTTTGAAAAATATTACACAACATAATAATGCTGATTTTGAGACATATCTTTCAAATTATTTTCCAAACTTAATCCAACTAATTTGTCAAATATTATTTACGTTAACAGTCGTATTTTAATTTAATTCGTATTTGATGACAATGACTGACAAAACTTTTAAAAAATCAAAAATTAAAAAATTTACTGTTAAGACTTTAAAAATTATTTAATGATTGTTTTTACACTAGTCAATTAATATTGCAAGTACAAACATTTTTTCAATTAAACACAAAAAACACCGTACATGTTTGTGTCATTTCAAAAACATACATGCTATACAAAATTTTACGCGACTGCATTATCTTTATTCGTGGAGAGTTAATAGGGTCGTTGACGATCGCGATATCTTTCTCCTAATGTGCCTCTCATTGTACCTCTTCAGCTTCTGTGTACATTTCCTCTGCAGCTTTCGCGACCTCCTCGGTCTCCTCCACGATCACCTCGGTCACCACCTCTTCCGCCCATATCTCTACGACCTCCGCGATCTCCTCCTCGGAATCCGCCACCGCCACCTCTTCCACCGTGAACTCCTCCACCACCTCCCATTCCCACAGGTTTTGCGCTCTTGCACAAATTACACTGATCGCGCTAAGTAAAATTCGTATTGCCACAATCTGTATTCGAACACCTGCAGTCGGTAAAAACGCTATTTTCTCACACTTGTATGCCAAAAAAATCAAAGAAAATCCAGTTTTATTTCGAAATGTTGTATTAACAATTTCTTAATTCAGTTATAAAGAATTAAAAGAATTGTAAGTATACCTTCGAAAAACTTGAAAATTTTAGACTTTGTCAAAATAACTGGTCCTTAACAGTAAAATCTCCATTTTTCAAATTTCAAAGTAATAAACAGTATTTTTTTTTAAAAAATTCGAACATGAAAAAATTTATGATGTCTATATTTTATTTAAAAATTATCTACACACTGAGAAAATTTTGGGGACGCTGCGGAATTTCATAAGAGTCGCTGGCACTCTCTGTCCACGATTCGCAGCCGCTCCGCAAAAGGCAGCATGTACTCCTCACGGGGCTGATTCTGACTTTGGAAAGGTAAGGATCAGTTCCATGAGCACGGAGTAAAGTCCATGAGAACAGTTTCTTACTTTTTTTCCGGGCGGCTGCGAATCGTAGGTAAAGTTGCGCTCCAGCTCTTGATTTAACGCAGTAGTGTCACCTACCGGAGCAGCATTGTCCCCAAAATTTTCTCAGTGCAGTAAATTTGTTTATTTTTTTATGCAGAATAAAAAAATAATAAGAAAGTTTGTCAGAAAAAAATTTTTTCAAAAAACTTTAAAAACAGATATTTTTTCAAGCTTTGAAGCGATGAAAATCCATGAAAAAAATTCATATTTGTTTATTTATTCATTTAGAATTTAAAAAATAGTATATCCTTCTGCAAAAAAAATTATTTTTTAAAGCTTAATGGCAGTAATTAGAGTAATGAAAAGACTAAGTGATCACTTTATTTGATTGCATAGTAATTTTATTTATTTCTTTATTTATTATTTATTTATTTCTTGCCATTTTCCATTGGTTTCGGCTATGCGTATAGCCTACTTACGCATTTCACCGCGAGAAGGTTGGAAAATGGTCTTTGAAATGCATTGTTTTCTTATTTATTATTGTAAACAACTTTTTTTAACAACATGTAATACATTTTCTTTATTTTTCTTAAATGTATAATAGATTTGAAATGTTTTAAAATTGCGTTCAACAGATACATTGTTATGCTTTTTTATATATTATTTTTCATCTTATATTTGATATTATTGTAATTACGTATAACAATTAACAAATTAATTTTTCGAATTATTTCCTCATCTTATTAATAAATTTGTATCATGTTTTTTAAATGATTTGTTTTACAACTTGTTTAATGTATCATTTTGATAAAGATATTTTAATCACTTAATTTTATTCTTTTAACGTCACTAATTCTAGAACAAAGTTTGCATTCGAATGGTTCTTTACTTTTTGCGAAATTTCTATTTATTGTTTCATCATTTATTGTCCCAATATTTTTTCTTTTTCTTTTAAATGTTGGCAAACTGCGATCTTCTTCATCCTCTGTATTTTTTTTTCCTTTTGCGTAGCAGTTGGCATGTATCCATCTATTGCAAACACAACATGTTTTCATTATCATTTTTAGATGTGTTTTACTAAAGCAGTACATACATCTGTCTTTTATATCTTTTGATTGTAATATTAAAGTTTTAGCAACATGTTTTCTATATTTTTCCGGATTAAATTCTTTATTAAATGATATATTATTGGCGATGCAGTATATATAATACATTACGTATATAGCACAATTACTTGTATCTGTTTTTGATTGAAACGGTCTATTCATTTCAATTTTTTCTTCAAAATTAATTTTTTTTAAGAAGCTTAAAGTACTTTCATGCTTACATGAATTTATGTAATTTTTGAACTCTTTTATGGCTCTTCCTTCATCAATTGAATTTTCGTATGGATCTAATAATGTATATATATAATTTCTTGTGTCTACACATAACAGACTGCAATGTCCGTCGAACATGTAAGGCATAAGTAATATTTTGTTAATTGGAGTCTTTATTGTATACAATTCCGATAGTGGACTTTTTCTTACTGTAGCATAACTGCCGATAGCTTTATTTGCAATATCTGTTGGCATGTAAGTTACTTCCTTGTTTGTCCATGAGTTCATATGTGTTGTTGTAAAACAGTCTACAATTGTGGAATCTATCCATTGTAACTTACGGACAACTGGTGAAAATTGTTTTGCTGACATTTGAAATTCCTTCAAAACAAGCGTTATATTTGTATTTGGTTCGTATATACCAATTTTTATACTTTCAGAGGACGATGTTACATAATGCCATACACTATTTATAAGTCCGTTTGGTAAAATATCTATATTATTTTTTATTTCATGTGTTTTCCTAAGTATTGTTTCATTATCTTTGTTCAATTTTTCATTGTCATTTTCAATCGTACATGTATTTGCATCACTGATATTCAATTGTTCTTCTTTTTCATATTCAATTTCAGAATTATCTACATTTTCTGACAATAAATCTTCATTTCTATATTCAATTGTGAAATTATCTACGTTTTCTAACAATAACTTTTCTTTCTCCTGTTTTATAACCTTCTCATTTATATTTTTATTATTTTTTTCTACTACTTTCTTGGGTTTTAAAATGTTAAAACCTTTTAATTTCATTTTGGCAGATAAGTTTGAATTTTTTATTTGTTTTGGTTTAGTATTTCTCTTTTGAATTCTTGAATTTCTTTTATTTTTATTCTTTAAATTATTTCTTCTGTTGACAATTTTTTGGCCAATACTCACAAGTTCTCTGCCTTCATAACATGTATGTTTTCTTGGTTTCACACTTTGCTTTTCTATTTCCTTTTTACTTCTTCCCCATTTTTCAATTTCAAACGGATTTGAGGCAGCCTCTGGGTAATGTGGTCTTTTTTGAACTGCTATCGTGCTTTTAGCATGTATATCTAATATCTCTTCTACAATTAATCCTTTATTATATTTTACTACTTCTCTTACTATTTCTCCAATAGCATTGTCTTTTGGAAGTTGAAGTATTGTATGCTTGTACGTATTTATATACGATTCAGCAAATGCGTTACTAACACGTGAAACACTGTCGTCCACAAACGGTATCATTAAAGCTCCAATTAATGGTGCATATGATAAAAATGTTTTAACTACATATCGACCAAATTCTATTACGTAATAATCATTAGTAATATCTTCATCACTATTTGTTAATAGATTATTTTCTTTACGCATTAATATTTTCCAAAAATGTTCGTAAAATGGGCTTCTTTCACAAATAGTTTTTGAATTTTTATGCATGTCAAGAAAGTTTTCATTCATTTCATCTAATTCTTCATCATCTAGTACATTTTCCATCATTTTGTCAATAACTTCCTTTTTTTTCTTATTCATTCCAGATAGGTAAATTAGACTGTCATTAGCTTTTTCTTCGTCTTTTTCGAGCGTTACATTCAATATTTGCTCAAAAGTTAAACTTAGTTCGTCTAATGTTCTACATAATATTAATTGTGCAAAACATTCTAATAAAAACTTTATTTGCGATTCGCTTAGGTTTAATTCTTTCTTTAATACTTTTAGAAATCTTCTTATAATATGGGCATTGCAAGATAGTAGAACTATAAGATCTGACCGTTTCAATTTTTTTCTTGTCAATATAGCATAAGTCTCCTCTAAATATTCTGTCATAGTCATTCCTTCGTTCCATTCAAATAAAAAGCTATTCATAAACACCCAACTCCAATCTAGAACTACTGCTTTAAATGGTGGCCAATAATTAATTGTCTTATGTACGAAGTTTTTGTATAATTTTAAAGTTATTTCAACAGATGGAATATCATGATTATCCGAAATTGATTCCAATAAAGGAATAGTTGATTCACGACCTCTCCATACTAAAGTATAATACATAATCATTTTAGTATCTACATGTTCGATTTTTCTACACATTGCTTTCGTTGAATCAAAATGAACTATTTTTCCTTTGCCATCAATAAAAGCCTGTAACTGGTCTTTTACCCAAATTAAAATTTTCAATGGTAATTGAAATAATCTCACGGCTGGATTTTTTAATTTATGTTGATCAATCCAATATTGTGCAATATCATTAATATCGCGTGATTTGCATTCCAGTTTATCTTCGATTCTTAATTCTGATTTTATTTTATTAACAACATGCATCTTCATTGCTAAACCCACATTTCCATCTTTTGCTAATGATACATCGCATTGTGCATTATTTTCTAAATGAACTTTTCTGGCTTTGCTATACTTCAATAATGTCCTAACTGCTGTTCGTTTTGGTCCTCGTACTTGTAAATATGGAATCAATGCTGATGTATTGTGATTTTTAGCTCTTGTTTCATTTGCATACATTGTAACTGATATAATACTTGAATCTATTTCAAATATATCAAATCTAAATTTTCTACCACAATTTGGATGCGGGCATGAAGCGTATCCAACAAAGTGACTTCCTTCATTTGGTCTAATACCGCCATAAAATCTTAATGGGCATGTACATTGAAATTTATTAACTGATATTACATGAATTTCATATCTAAGTGTGCTAAAGTCTATCTTGTCACCGTCAGCCACTTTTTGTGTCATAAAATATGCCTGTCCATATTCATATGGATATTTTAATTTATTTTTATCTTTTTCACATTTAACATCTTCATTTTTTAAAATTTTCTTTTCCTTATTCCTTTTGCTTGTACTATTATTATCTTCACAGCTACTTTTCGAGTCGTTTTCTATTTCAATATCCGAACTATTATTATCGCTACTGATGTACTCACTACTATAATCAGAAATATCAGAATTAGTTTTTGACAATAATATTTTTTTTATACTGCCTAACAGTTTTAGAATATATTTTTTTTTTTATTTCATTTTCAATATTCTGAACATTGCTGGTTTCTTTTTTCGTATTACATTCAATTTTTACATTTCCTTCTCCAATAACTGTTACTTTACTATCTATGGCACTATAACTAACATCACTACTAAGTTCAGAAACTTCTTTTTTGCATCTAATTACATTTTTACTTAATTGCACGACATTATTAAAATACAATTTATCATTTGTACACTGTCTTGACATTTTGTTGTTAATGCTAAAATTTTCTTCTATAAATTTCTTTTCAGTTGATGTAGTGTTAGTATCTCGTAAATATTCATGAAAAGACTCTATTTTTTCAGTTTCTTTTTCACTTTCAAATTCATATATATCGTTCAAAACTTCTTCATTATTGTCTGCTTTATTTGTATTTTTGGCATTTTCATCATGTGTCAATTCAGATTGAAGTTTACTATTTTCAATTTCATTCAAATCATTACAGTTAGTCGGTTCATATTCATTTTTAATTGCATCTTTTTTATGTTCATTATTATTCAATACCATTTCCACACTACCAAAATTAGTATCATTTCGTTCATTTAAAAATATTATATCTACATTTCTTGCTTCTTTATTTTCATCAATTTTTATATCATTAATTTCATCTTTATAACTTTTAAGTTCAACTGTTTCATTTTTGTCATTTTCATTTTTACTAATTATGGTTTCATTTTCCCCTTCAATGCATTTGTCATTTTCACTAATTATTGTTTCATTTTCCCCTTCAATGCACTTCTTTTCGTTATTATTCATTTTAATCTTTTTCATTTCATCTGTATTATTTTCATCGTTTTCAATGTTAATAAATTTTCTCTTATTACATATTGGGTGACAATTAACCGTTAATTCTTTTGATAACTTCTCTTCTTTAAGATGATTTAAATCTTCTACTGGTACTAATGTATTTTCACTTTCATCTTGTTTCAAAATTGTTTTAAATTTGTTAACGTGATCAGTGTTAATAATTTCATTTTTAATATTTATCATTTCAATTTTTAATGTTTGACTGTTATTTTCATTTACTTTCTTATTTTTTCTACATTTATTATTTTCAGCTAATTTGTTATCAACTAAGTCATTTTTAACTTCTTTCTTTACAGCAGACTTATTTTTGACTTTTTTCTTTTCGGCTGTTTTCTTTTCGACTTTTTCCTTTGTGGATGATTTATTTTCAACTTCTATATTTTTGACTTTTTTATTTTCGACTATTTTCATTTCGTATATTTTTTGTTTCGGAATTATTTTTAAATTGTCAAAGTGACCATTATTTCGACTATTAGAAAATAACAAATTTATATCTTCTTTGGCAACTAAATTTTCGCTGGATGAATTTATAGTCCACATTAGATTAAGTTGACGTCCTTCAATTTCATTTTTCTTTGATGCAGTTTCATCATTTTTTAATTGATATAAGTTAACACGCCTTTTGTAAATATCAGGAATTTGAGATATTTCTATATCAGTGCCATATTCTCCATCTGTTTTCATTTGTTCGGCATATTCTCCAGCATTATTGTACGGCTCTTTTGGCTTTTCGTTACTCTTTACTTCAGCGGAAACTCTATATCCGTTTATTATTTCGTTCATCTGTGCCCAATTTTCTGTTATGTGATCTACAATTTCTGATCTTATTTCTACATGCCTTTCTTCATTGTCATAAAGAGCGTATGATACACTTCTGAACAAACAATTTCCATCTCCGTTTGATATTCGTAATTTATATTTAATATTATTTTCCAATTTGTACATTTCAGCATCACTGTTTCTTCTTTCCTCTTCAATTTCAATTTTTTCTTTTACTTTTGTTTCTACTTTCTCGACTTTCTTTATGTCGGCTGACATATTTTCAACTTTTTTGTTTTCGATATTTTTGTGATCGGCAGTTTCATTTTCGGCTGTTTTTTTGTTAACTTTTCTCTTTTTGGGTGATTTATTTTCGATTTCTTTATTTTTAAATGTTTTAGTTTCAACATATTTTTTGTCGACTTTATTTTCCAGTTTTTTATTTTCGACTTCTTTCTTTTCGGCTGACTTATTTTTAGACTTGTAATTTTCGGTTATTTTGTTTTTGACTTTTTCATTTTCGGCTATTTCGTTTTCGACATCTTTCTTTTTGGCTGACTTACTTTCAATTTTTTCATTTTCGGCTGTTTTGTTTACAACTTTTTCATTTTCGACTTTTTTCTTTTCTGCTGTTTTGTTTTCGACTTCTTTCTTTTCGGCTGTTTCATTTTCGGTTGTTTTGTTTTCAACTTTTTCATTTTCGACTTCATTCTTTTTGGCTGTTTTGTCTTCGACATCTTTCTTTTTAGCTGACTTACTTTCGATTTTTTCATTTTCGGCTGTTTTATTTTCGACATTTTTCTTTTCGGCTGTTTTGTTTTCGACATCTTTCTTTTTAGCAGACTTATTTTCGACTTTTTCATTTTCGGCTGTTATCTTTTCGACATCTTTCTTTTTGGCTGACTTTCTTTCGACTTTTTCATTTTCGGCTATTTCGTTTTCGACATCTTTCTTTTTGGCTGACTTACTTTCGACTTTTTCATTTTCGGCTGTTTTGTTCACAACTTTTTCATTTTCCACTTTTTTCTTTTCTGCTGTTTTGTTTTCGACTTCTTTCTTTTCGGATGTTTCATTTTCGGCTGTTTTGTTTTCAACTTTTTCATTTTTGACTTCATTCTTTTTGGCTGTTTTGTCTTCGACATCTTTCTTTTTGGCTGACTTTCTTTCGACTTTTTCATTTTCGGCTATTTCGTTTTCGACATCTTTCTTTTTAGCTGACTTACTTTCGACTTTTTCATTTTCGGCTGTTTTATTTTCGACATTTTTCTTTTCAGCTGTTTTGTTTTCCACATCTTTCTTTTTAGCAGACTTTCTTTCGACTTTTTCATTTTCGGCTATTTCGTTTTCGACATCTTTCTTTTTGGCTGACTTACTTTCGACTTTTTCATTTTCGGCTGTTTTGTTCACAACTTTTTCATTTTCCACTTTTTTCTTTTCTGCTGTTTTGTTTTCGACTTCTTTCTTTTCGGATGTTTCATTTTCGGCTGTTTTGTTTTCAACTTTTTCATTTTTGACTTCATTCTTTTTGGCTGTTTTGTCTTCGACATCTTTCTTTTTGGCTGACTTTCTTTCGACTTTTTCATTTTCGGCTATTTCGTTTTCGACATCTTTCTTTTTAGCTGACTTACTTTCGACTTTTTCATTTTCGGCTGTTTTATTTTCGACATTTTTCTTTTCAGCTGTTTTGTTTTCCACATCTTTCTTTTTAGCAGACTTATTTTCGACTTTTTCATTTTCGGCTGTTTTGTTTTCGACTTCTTTCTTTTCGGATGTTTCATTTTCGGCTGTTTTGTTTTCAACTTTTTCATTTTTGACTTCATTCTTTTTGGCTGTTTTGTCTTCGACATCTTTCTTTTTGGCTGACTTTCTTTCGACTTTTTCATTTTCGGCTATTTCGTTTTCGACATCTTTCTTTTTGGCTGACTTACTTTCGACTTTTTCATTTTCGGCTGTTTTGTTTACAACTTTTTCATTTTCGACTTTTTTCTTTTCTGCTGTTTTGTTTTCGACTTCTTTCTTTTCGGCTGTTTCATTTTCGGTTGTTTTGTTTTCAACTTTTTCATTTTCGACTTCATTCTTTTTGGCTGTTTTGTCTTCGACATCTTTCTTTTTAGCTGACTTACTTTCGATTTTTTCATTTTCGGCTGTTTTATTTTCGACATTTTTCTTTTCGGCTGTTTTGTTTTCGACATCTTTCTTTTTAGCAGACTTATTTTCGACTTTTTCATTTTCGGCTGTTATCTTTTCGACATCTTTCTTTTTGGCTGACTTTCTTTCGACTTTTTCATTTTCGGCTATTTCGTTTTCGACATCTTTCTTTTTGGCTGACTTACTTTCGACTTTTTCATTTTCGGCTGTTTTGTTCACAACTTTTTCATTTTCCACTTTTTTCTTTTCTGCTGTTTTGTTTTCGACTTCTTTCTTTTCGGATGTTTCATTTTCGGCTGTTTTGTTTTCAACTTTTTCATTTTTGACTTCATTCTTTTTGGCTGTTTTGTCTTCGACATCTTTCTTTTTGGCTGACTTTCTTTCGACTTTTTCATTTTCGGCTATTTCGTTTTCGACATCTTTCTTTTTAGCTGACTTACTTTCGACTTTTTCATTTTCGGCTGTTTTATTTTCGACATTTTTCTTTTCAGCTGTTTTGTTTTCCACATCTTTCTTTTTAGCAGACTTATTTTCGACTTTTTCATTTTCGGCTGTTTTGTTTTCGACTTCTTTCTTTTCGGCTGTTTTGTTTTCGAATTTTTTCTTTATGACTGACTTATTTTCAACAGCCTTATTTGCGGCATTTTTCTTTTCGGCTGATTTGTTTTTGACTTCTTTCTTCTCGGATGTTTTATTATCGACTTCTTTCTCTTCTGGTAATTTATTATCGATTTTTTTCTTTTCGCCTGTATCTGTTTCGGTTAATTCTTCATTACACTTACTTACATCAAATGTCTTTTCAAATTTTTCATGATTGCTGCTTTTTATTTGCATGCATACCTCAGCTTGAATATTTTTCTGCAATAAAATATTTCGTAAATTTGTTATCTTACTTATAAAACTGTCATTACGCTTGACTTTTAATATTTTAGCTACCTGCAAAAAAGTAATGTTTAATAAACGTGTTTACATAAAAATTTTACTTAAATTTTGATTAAAAGGAAAACGAATAAACAAATTTATCGCATAAATAATTATGATAAAAAACATTAGTAATAGAAAAAAAATGTTTTTTAGAAATAGTATAATACAAACAAATTTAAAAAAAAACTTCGATAATGTTAAAAAATGAAACTTTATGGAGAACATTTAAGCAAAATTATGTTAATATTGTACTAATTTCATGCAACAAGAAATTAAACAAAATATTAATATTGAGAAATAATTTGTCTATAAACATTTTTTTCGGCTTCATTGAATACCCGTGTAGAAATGGTGATAGGGTATTGTTGGTGAATTCATTAGCTTACCACGTCTGAAAAAGATTCCGAACTAGAAAAAATAGTTAGTTTCTAGCTGTTTTTGAAGGTCGTTTAGGTGGGGTTTCAATTAAAAGTTTTAGTTTACTTCTATAGCTTCTAAAAATTATTATTTCTTAGTTTTACCGATTTATTATAAAATTATTCATTTCTTTTATAAATTATTCAGAAGGGTAACCAGCAAGCATTAAAAAAAATGTCCTCAATTTCTAAGGTTATTTATGTTTTCATTATATAAGAATTTGGTTACTAATATATTTAACAATAAATTAATATTTAATTATAATAATAAACAATAATTAAAAGTATTTAAGTCGTGTTAGGTTAAAAAATTTCTTTATTCACTCTTATTTAAATAATTTTAATCCATAATAAAATTAGTTTTCGTAATCAAAATTATTATTTAAGTAGAATTTTATAGGGACCCGATTTCTTTTTATATATTATAGATTTTAGTTGAAATCTAGTGGAGGCCACACTAGAGGCAGGGAGAAATAAGGAAATTTCTACACGGGTATGTCAGTGAATGCATTGATGAATAAGTGACTTTTTAATAATATGAGAAAGTGTCTGAGTTTAATGAATTAATGAGTTAATACATTAGTGAGTTACGTAAGTGTGAAGTTAATTTACAGAATAAGTGACTTGTAAACTTACTGATTGATTAAATGTGTGAGTGCGTGAGAGATCGAATGTATTAGCGAATAGGTGTCTATTTTTCTAACAATAAGTATCTTATTAACTTCTGAGGTAAGTAAACAACTGACTGAATAAGTGTGCAATAGATTAGCTAAGTAATTGATTTTGTAGAATTTGTACATGAATTTTACTAAATTTTAAAAAACTATAATTTAAAAAAATGATTGAAATAATTTTTTTAAAAACCCTTGTTATTATGTCTTTAATTTTTATATTCAATTATAATGAGAAATTTTACAAAAAAAAATAATGCACTTGGTATTATAAGGTTTATAAAATTTATGAAACATATCATCTACCGTATCATTTGGAGAGAAAATAATATATCTTAAAAAAAAATTTTAAATAATAAAAAAAATAAATAAATTATTATTATTTATTTATAAATAATATATAAAAAAATGATATATCTGAGATATTAAACCGTAACATCTAGATAATATGCACACTGAAAGAAATGTTTTTGGTATGATAGGAATTTGGTTATGTTTATGAATTTCTGTCAAGTTTTGAGAAACCAAATGTTGTTTTTACCTCAATAGTTAGGTTAAATGAGAAATTTAAAGATGATGAACACTTAACCTATAATTTGTAATATATATGTCAGAATCACACGCACCTATTTTCTGAACGAACAAAACTAATGTCAAATCTGGTTAAAAGGTTAGTGTACTTTACAAATTTTCGTCGAGTTTTAATGGTATGGTTGAAATACCCTATAACTGTTGGGCTGTTTCTATTCCAGCAATACTATATGAGTAATATAACCTAAATTATGTCTGTACTTTCCATATTTTTCCTTCAGTGCATTACATGGTTGCCACAAAATCTAGATTTCAAAATTTCAGGCTTTTTCCAGGTTAAAAATATTAAAAATTCCAGTTAAAAATTTAGGAATTATTTGTGATGCAAAAACAAGTATTTTACAAAACAATGCATTCTTATGTTTATTTTTCTGAAAGTAATATACTTTTGATATTCGATTTTTCAATTCATTTTTTTTAAATAATATAGGTAGTTTTTTCTATTGAATCTACTTTATTTCATACATACTCAAAAGTAAGAATTTAAGTTGCAAAATTAAAAATTAAAAAAAAAAAAATTAAATTAATTTAATTAAATTAAATTATTAAAAAAAAATATAAATAAAATATAAAATAAAAAAAAAATTAATTAAATTAAATTTAATAATTTAATTTATTTATTAAAATAAAATTTATTATTATATATAATAATATTATATTCTATTATATTATATTATATTATATTATATTATATTATATTATATTATATTATTATTATTATATTATTATTATATTATATTATTTATTATTATTTATTTATTTTTTTTATTTTTTTTATTTATTTTTTTTATTTATTTAATTTAATTTAATTTTTTAATTTTTTTTTAATTTTTTATTTTAATTAATTAATTAATTAAATTTATATTTAATATAAATATAAATTTTTTTTTTTATTAAATTATTTAATTTAATTAATTTAATTAAATTAAATTATTAAAAGTTCGCAAAATTAATTTGAAAATATTAAAGTCTTTCTATTTTGAATTTTACTCGGGCCAATATGTAAAATTTGAATATTTATAAAAGCAATAATATTCCTCTTTTTTATAAATAATATATAGAAAAATTAAACATCAAACAATTAACTTTATTTTAATGTGCATTCACATTTTTTTTAGAATATTTTTAAAGTATAAAAACATTATTAATCATCGTGAAGTAATTTTAAGTTAAACTGAAGGCAAAATTTAAACATTTTTATCACATGTAAGACGGAGATCAAAAAAATTTTTAAATGCACATAATGATAAAAAAAATTATATTTTCTGGCACTATTTTTAAAAAATTTCTAAGAGTTTGGAAAATAACCATAAAAATCTAGTTTTCTTATAGAAGTCCTATTGGAGACATTTTTAAAAAAGACTTTGTAGATGAAATTATTTTAGCTATTGCATAAATTCACTTAAATAAAATTGTTATATTTTTAATGATAACTAAGTGCTAAATTTTTACTATGAAAATAGTTAATAATATTATTAGAGAGTAGATTTTATAAAATTAATTGAGATATCAAAAATGTCACTTTCAGAAGAATCAGCCGTAATTAAAACATTGAAGTTTTTGCTGTCTGCTATACATATCCCTATATACTATTATGTGTAATGTGAATATTTAACTTAACTAATAAATAATTTGCAGTTGAATTGCGTCTAGAAATTGACCTCGATGAAAATATATTTTCTTTTATATTTCTCGCTAATTAAAAAGTAGTTATTAGTGCAAAATCATTTCTCACAATTTGTGAAAAATTTTGTTATTTGGTATATAAAATTGCATGTTAACATTTTTAAAGAAAAATAACATGCTGAATGAAATTTTTCTTAATATCTTTTATTAACCCGAAAAATTCCAGAAATTCGTTCAAATTCCATGCCATGCCATTTCCAGGCTTTCCATACTCTTTTTCAATTCCCATGCTATTTCCACCCTATTGAAAATCCCCATATGGGAAACCACATGGGAAACCACTTGGGATCCTATGTCAAACCATATGGGAAATTGAGACAGGATTTTAGTTAGGAATAGACATGGGGAATTTGAACAGTTCATCTATGCATAAAACCATATCAAATCCCACATGTTTTTCCCAGTCAAATCCTAAACCGAATCCCATGTGAAAAACAGTATCATTTATTTATAATTATTTTCCCAAGTCAATCCCCAAGTGAAAAACAGTATCATTTATTTATAATTATTTTTCCATGTCAAATCCTAAACCAAATCCCATGTGAAAAACATTATCCGCCTTATTGAATATCCCTACATGGGAATCCACTTGGAATTGTACAAGGGATTTCACATAGGATTTTATATGGGAATTGACATAGGATTTCATGCAAGATTTCACCTAGGATTTAATATGAGATATCACATAGTATTTTATTAAAGATCCAATGAAGAAATTTTCAAAGGATTAAAAATTATTTAATAAAAAATTAAATAACAAATAGTATTAGTGTTACAAGTCATTAAAAAAGTAAAAAAACGATCATTTGAAACACGTCCTCTCTGCTACAGGTTCTCAGCTTTTATATACTTCCAGAATCGTCTCAACAGCGAGAGAAGTCACTTTCGCCACCTAGCGGTGAAAGTATAGGAGCGACAGTAATCTTTAACATTACTAAGGAAACCATGTGGAATACCACGTAGGATTCCATGTGGTTTCCTACGTGGGGATTTACATGGGATTTTACTTAGGAATTTAAGTAGAAATAAATTCCCAAATGAATTCCTAAGTAAAATCCCATGTAAATCCCCACGTAGGAAACCACATGGAATCCTACGTGGTATTCCACATGGTTTCCTTAGTAATGTTAAAGATTACTGTCGCTCCTATACTTTCACCGCTAGGTGGCGAAAGTGACTTCTCTCGCTGTTGAGACGATTCTGGAGATAAAAAACCAACAGGTTTTAAATTTTTAAAACCATCCCCCCCTCTTAATTTTGAAAATACGGAAAACCGACAATATGGGCTCTTTTCTAAAAGTGACAGTTTTTCTATTAAAAAACCAATTTTTTTACAAGATTAATGATTAGGTACAATTTTATTGTGTCATTTGAAGAAAAAGAATGTAAATTAAACTTATTTAAATTTTTTGACAGTCTCTACTATGAAAAAATTGACGCAATATCCAAATTTTCATTTCGACAATTACAATCATTCATTTTGACAATCCAGGACATCTTAAAGATGAAAAATCAAGAGGTTTTAAATTTTTCCACACCTCCATTTCTAAAATACGGATTACTTTTGCAA